CTTCCATTCTCTCTAAAAATAAATAAATAAAGTCTTTTAAAAATAAACAAAAGAACTATTAAAAATAGAAAATCAAATTAATTTATAAAAGTTTATATCCTTTTCCCTTGAAAGTCTACTTTTAATAATGTGTCCTATGAAATTACAAGCCCACAGATACCAAGATGTGTATATAAGGTAATTTGTTGTAGCATTTTTGTAATTGCAAAAAATTGAGAGCAAGTTAAACATTCATCAATGATGAATTAGTTAAGTAAATTATAGTACATCTAAATGTACTTATGTGTCCATGATAACATGGTAAAATAAATTAAACTGTAGAACAATACATATTTACATACATATTATTTTTTTCTTATTTTTATTTATTTTCTTTTAAGATTTTATTTATTTTTAGAGAAAGAGCAAAGGAGGGAGAGAGGAAGAGAAAAAACATGAAATAGGGACTATAATTGAACAATAAAAAAGAACACAAAAAAATGAAACTCGACCACCAACTTACACCATACACAAAAATAAAGTCAAGATGGATAAAAGACTTAAATATAAGCCATGACACCACAAAAGTCCTAGAGGAGAGCATAGGCAGGAAATTTTCAGATATCCCATGCAACAATGTTTTCACCGATATGTTCCCTAGAGCAAGGGACATAGAATAGACAAATAAGACTTCATCAAATTAAAAACCTTCTGCATGGCTAAAGAAAACATCAGCAAAATGAAAGGGGAACCAACTATATCAGGAAATATATTTGCCAATGATAGCTCAGATGAGGATTTGATCTCCAAAATATATAAAGAACTCACACAACTCCACACCAGGAAGACAATCCAATTAAAAAATGGGTGAAGCCCGGCTGGTGTAGCTCAGTGGATTGAGTGTGGGCCTGAGAACCAGTGGGTTATCAGTTCGATTCCCAGTTGGGGCACATGTCTGGGTTGAGGGCCAGGTCCCCAGTAGGGGGTGCACAAGAGGCAACCACACATTGATGTTTCTCTCCTTCTCTTTCTCCCATCGTTCCCCTCTCTCTAAAAATAAATAAAATAGCCCTGGCTGGTGTTGCTCAGTGGATTGAGCGTGGGCTGCAAACCAAAAGTTCACAGGTTCACTTCCCAGTCAGGGCACATGCCTCAGTTGTGGACTGGGTCCCCAGTGGGGTCCATGTGAGAGGCAACCACACATTGATATTTCTCTCCCTTTCTTTCTCTCTTCCTTTCTCTCTTTCTAAATAAATAAATAAAATCTTTTAAAAAATAAATATATGTAAAAATTTTAAAAATGGGCAAAGGATCTGAACAGACCCTTCTTGAAGGAGGACATACAGAAGGTGCAAAGTCATGTGGAACTTTTTATTACATCTTGATGGCAAGTGAATGTCCTTGCTGAAGAAAAAAGTACTAAGTAACCTGTATTCCTGTTCTTCTAGTAATTAAAATTATTTTTTAAATCATTGGTAAAAAGGAAGAAAAAGAAACATTAGTGTGTGGGTGCCTCTCATGCACTCCCTACTGGGGACCTGGCATGCAACCCAGGCATGTGCCCTGACTGGGAATCGAACCAACAGTCCTTTGGTTCACAGCCTGGCACTCAATCCCCTGAGCCATACTAGTGAGGGGTTTTTTTGTGTTTTGTTTTAAACTGTACACATCCATGCACACATACACACATACACACACACTTACTTAAACCCAGAGGAAAAAAATCCAAAAACAGACATCTCCATGGAAAGGATTTGGGGTAGGTTTTACTTTATACTTCATGTACTATTGTATTACTTGAGTTGATTTTATTCACAATCATAACATACACATTTGTCATTTTTAAAAATAAAGACTAAAACTACTCCAAAACTAATTACTAATGACTAGCAATTTTGCTGTTATTATTATTTATCATTGTGCTCTTTAAATATCCCTGAGACATTTCTAACTATATGAAGTACTTGTTTATTAAACCCAGGTAAGGTTCACAGGTTTCAGCAAATGTCCCCCAAAAGCCTTGTTCTCATGAATATATAAATATATACATACATAATTTATGTGTAAGTAGATTTATTGAAATTTTTAATCTAGAAATGTGCTCATTAAAATTTATTTTTAAATGTCATAATCCTTCTATGGGCCATAAATAACAATTTTTTAGGTGAAAGCTAAAGCTAGACATGTTGTAATCACTCCTAATGATTCATGTAATTGTCACTTTTTTCTCAGATGTCATATGACCAAGATAGAAGTAGAAGAAATTCTATGGTGTTACAGTTTCTTCAATGTTGAGCAGGCAGTGATTGCAGCTGGCATCTTAATTTCCCCAGGTGGGTTATCAGCACCAGTAATACCTACCAAAGGAAAATTTTAAGACACTGATTCATAACATTTTGGGGGTCCAGAGCCTCCCTTGAGGAAGTACTAATGATGTGGGAGGTGAAAAGAACATGGGCTTTGCTACCAGACAAATCTCTGTTCAGATCCCAGCTCCACTACCTATTTGATGGGTAACCTTTAAATAAGGTTACTTGACCTCTCTGAAAAATGCCTGGAATGCGGTAAGAACTTAGTAAAAAGCAGTCATTATCATGTTCTTTTGATAGATATGATAGAAACTATAGACCCTGTCCTCAGGAAAAAAATACATCTTGCATTTTTAGGATATTGCATACAAGGGCTTTGTGCACCTATCAATGCCATTCTAGACCTGAGGTGAGGAATCCCTGGTCTAAGGTTTGGAAAGAACATTTTAAGAAATCTGAGTAGTAGAAGTAACATTTTGTACTCCTTTTGCTGGTTATTTTAGATTGTATTTTCTTTTGCTTGTTTGTTGTGTGAGATTATTTGTGTATTATGGCTACCAGGATTTAATCAGACCAAAATGATATATTTTACATTAAGTGTACAGAAGAGCAAAATAAACGTGGGTTGTCTAGCACTTTGACACATCAGTTAGATTTACTGATTTACCAGCAAAGTGGTAGGAAGGGTCATGGCAATTCTCTGTCAGATTAGGTTTTCAAAGACCACTGCTAACCACATGGATTTAGTGGAATCATACTTCTGGTTCCTTGGGTCAAAGATAAAATCACTTTAAACTGATTTGAGCAAGCTGTTCAGACTTCACTTTCCTAGTACTCAGCTCAGTTTTATAATGAGAGCCAGGTAGTACTATTCTCTTTTATTTTCAAGGCTTCAGAAAAAGAGAACAAATGTATTCAGGTAGTAAGTAACTCAAAGGCATAGCTGTCCTATTCCTCTGCATTAGTCTGATCTCAAAAGAAACACAGCAACCCTCTGGAATGTGCCTCTGCCATTAGCTGAAACAACAGCATCAAGACAATTAGTAAAAACATATCTCCATATTCTGTGAGAGCTCTATTAGGCATGGATCTAGCCCCCATTTCCTCACTAATTAACCCCCTACCTGAAATGCCCAAGATCAGTAAATTATACTCCTCTAAGAATAAGTGAACATTTCAGGAAATGAGCTAAAGTCCAATCTTGATACTGTTATCACTGACTTTACCCACACTTCAGGACTGCTGTGCTGATGATGCAGAAGATTGGACTTGAGGGGATTGTGGAATTGTACAAAGAAAAAAATCTTATATTCCTAATCAAAATTGGAAAGAAGGGGGGAAATACATGGGTAATTCCAAAAAGCCAGTTTTCTTACAAGAACTCCATTCCAACATCATTATTGTTTTCAAAATAAAAATGAATTGGTTCATAAATACCATTCCCTGTTAAAAGGAACCAGGGCTCTTTGGTAAAATTGCCGATTCCTGAGCTGAACAGAGAAAATACAAGATGAGCCTCTAACATCTTGCTGTGCTAAAAGTAAGGAAATGCTCAAAAAATTATGGGAATATGTGAAAAGGACACAAGAGCCACATTGAAGGATTCCCGCCGGCCAAATCTGGGCCAATTTGAACATCAAAATAAATAATAGCAATAAATTGTAACCTAAAGTAAGAGTCCATGAGTTTATGCTGATACAAACACATGAACAACTGAAAAAATAAATACGTAAATGGGAAGAAGGGAACACTCTTACCTACAATAGAAGTCTAACTAATAAATGTAGAAAAGTGATGGAGTTTTAAAAATCATCAATTTGCAGCCATTAAAATAATAAGTGATTGAGATAAGAATCATCAACAGATGTAAAACTACTGGGTAAAAGTTTGATAAGAACAAGATGGTTGCATAGCCTCCAAATGTCTCCCCAGAAATTACTTTCAAATTACAAAGGAAAAAAATAGTAATTTGACAATGGAGAAATCTATCAATCATTATCAGAATCAAATGATCAAAGTTATCATCACCAGTAATGGGACAAATTGACATCATGAAAGATGAGGAAAGAATGTTCTTTTCTAGATTAGAATCTAATGAGACATGATAATTAAAATCAATGTGTGATCCTGGAATGGATCTTGGACCAAGCCAAAAATAGCAATAAAGGAAATTATTAGGACAATTGGCTAAATTTGAATGTGGACGATGTATTAGTCACATTAGTCCACATTAGTCACATGTGTCAATGTTTAATTTCCTGATTTTGATCATTGCACTGTGGTTACATAAAAGAATGTCCTCATTCTTAAGAAATACACACTGCGATATTTGGGTGTAATACTTAGGGATAATGAGATGTTATGTCAGCAACTTTCAAACTGTTAATAGTGTGTGGGGAGGAGGGAAAAGAAAGAGAAAGACAGGAAGAATGATGAAACATATGAGGAAAATGTAACAGTTGTTGAATCTGGGTAAAATATAGAAGTTCTTTGTCCTATTGCAATATTTCTGTAAGTTTGAAGTCTTATCAAAATAAAAGACAAAATAGTATTTGTTTTATATTACAAAGTAGATGACAAAACTGTAGTAAGCTTTGGCCTCTCTGAGGAACACAGCACCATAGCATAGGAGTGGGTTATTTGCAGTAGGGAGCAGAACAGTATTGCATCATTGCTACCCTTGCTAAGGAGGATAGTTTGTAAGTTACTCACAGCAGCGCAGTTTCACATCAGCAGTTGGAATGATGTTGTTGACAAGCCAAACATCTTCTTCCCAACTAACTACATTTCCACCCAAGCACTTCATAAATTCCTCCTTTTCCAGGATGTGGTCCCAGAGTTGAAAGTAGTATAAGCTGCCAGTGAAGGGAGGCACCATGCTTTTAATTTGCATGTCCCTGTTCTTCAGAAAATGCCCTAGAACCAGAGTTCCATTGGGTGTCAGGTTTTGTGGTTGATCCATTATTACTAGTATCCTTTTTTTATTCAGGAAGAGCTCTAATCTGCCCTTCACACCATCCCATATCAAGCATACTGTATGCCATTGAAATGGGGTCAGATGGTAATGGATAAAAAAGGTCTTGCCCAAGTTGTATAGTATTAAGTGCTGATGATCTCCTGAAAGTCCAAGGTCTATGTCTTCTCTCATATTATTAGTAATATAAGAAAAAACCATCCAATCACTTGATTTGCCATTCACAAATACCAGGTCCATGCATGCTGTGAATCGACTGAGTTCAGGAATGGTTTTGGTCAGGCTTACATATGTGTCAGCTCTTTCATAAAAATCCAGCCGTTTTCCTTTTAGTGAAAGTGCATCTGTCCAAATTTTGGGAAGGAGAAAGAGAAAACAAATGAAATTTTAGTATCAAAAATCAATTTTGTAATCTTCTTTAGCCATATAGTCAAATTCAGATTATGCAATACTATTATGAGTCAATACTGGTGTAAATAAGCCAAATAGTAGATATACAAAAATCATCTCTATTTCACATTGGTATGTGGCTTTTTTGGCATAAGAGTTTATTCCTAATTATATTTTGCCTGGGGTAATGTGAAAACTTAGATTAGTGTTCCCAGGGCACACACAAGTCGGACAGTTTGGGGAGGCAATTAGAAGTGTATGGCTGAATGCGAGGAGGCTAAGAAAAAGCCAGCTTGGACTTAAAATTTGCTGCACATAATTCTCACTTACATAGTCAAAAGATAAAAATTTCTGTTTACCTAACTGCCTTATTATATTCATGGTGCAATAGCAATTTATTCCTCCAAAGCCTTTTCCTGAGCCAAATTATCTGATTATTCTGTGTCTGAAGACCGCTTCTCACTGAAGGCACTGACAAGGGCCTGAAGGACGGCCAGCTGGACAATACTGAAATGCCAGGGCTTCTGTTTGCACCCAGGAATGGGAGATATGGAACAACTCTGAGTGTATCCTGATTCCATCACTCTATTTCCTCAAGAGGGGCTACAGCTTTAAGCAGCAGCTTTAAGAGGCTCTAGGTACCATGGAGCCAGTTATCACTGGCTCATGAGTCACACAGCTTGGGGCAGAATGCCAGCCCTGACATTCATCATCTGTGTAACTTTGAACAAGTAATTTAACCTTTGAATGCCTGTGTTTACTTCAGTAAAATTGGGATCCAGGGACACAGTGTTGTATTTATGCACAACTCTAGAGGCCACCATTCACATTATTATCTATGCTAGAAAATACCCCTACCTACTGACCTCAAAGGATTGTTTGAAAATTAAATGAGTCGATACATGCAAAGTCCTCTCAAACATTGCTGAAGAGTATGTCCATTATTACAGTATTTTGATGGTTAATTTGGCAATATCTATGGAAATTAGAATTCCTGGCTGGTGTAGCTCAGTGGATTGAGTGCGGGCCTGCAAACCAAAGGGTCACCAGTTTGATTCCCAGTCAGGGCATATGCCTGGGTTGCAGGCCAGGTTGCCAGTTTGGGGCATGCAAGAGGCAACCACACGTTGATGTTTCTCTCCCTCTCTTTCTCCGTCCCTTCCCCTCTTTCTAAACATAAATAAATAAAAATAAATAAATAAAAGTAAATAAATAAAATCTTTAAAAAATAAAACTACTTTAAAAAAATTAGAATTGAGTATGCTATTTGTTTCATATAGAAAATTATTGATGAATTACTATATTATCACCATTATAACCTTCACACCCTAAGCCACTAGGCAAATATATGATTGCTGAACATCAACCTAATTTCAGTCCCAGCACAGCATAAGATAAATAAAAAATAAAAAGCTTTACAGCAAGAACAGAAATCCAACTTCTCTCTGAATTAGAGGTATAACGTTGAGACTGCCAATCTAAAACTAACAGCTATAACAGCACACTACAGAAGTTGGCAAGAAGTGACCACTCCCCTGCTCTAGGAGATGTCCACAAATTAAACCTTCAAGATATTCTCTGTCCTCGCAGTATTCTCTCCCTCCATTGCTCCACTGAACATCTTTCAAAAGCAAACAAATACATGCCTGCCCACACACATTCACATACACAGTCACCTGCACACACATGCACACATATACACATAACCATGTGCCAGAACTCATACCATTCACCTGCTAGGGAGCTATTTCTGAACTGTCCATGGTGGATGAAAAAATGCATATATCTGTCCCTGGCTTATGTGAATATATTATCATCTTTTATGTGGCTAATAAATCAAGAGTGAATTCCAACAAAGTGATAATTTTGAAACCCAAGGCTTGATTGTAGTTAGTTAACATTGCTTTTCTGTTCAACCCTACAAAAAATGTCAAGTACAACATTTAAGAATGAGTTTTATGATGACCATAAATCTCCAGAGCTTATTTGTCATTGAAAAGAGAATGTATTATAATATTATATTGTCTACAAGGGCCTCTCCTCCCTGCAATATATTAATATAAAACAAACTGAAAGGACATGAAGAAGCAACTGACTAAATCAGAAATATAAAAACATGGCCTCTTGCCCTGGCTGGTGTGACTCAGTGGACTTAGCACCAGGCTGCAAACCAAAGGGTCGCTGGTTTGATACCCAGTCAGGGCACATGGCTGGATTGTGGGCCAGGTCCCCAGTAGGGTGCACGTGAGGGCCAACCACACATTGATGTTTCTCTCCCTCTCTTTCTTTCTCCCTCGCTCTCTAAAAATAAATAAATAAAATCTTTTAAAAATATATTTTATTGATTATGCTATTACAGTTGTCCCATTACCCCCTTCATTCCCCTCCATCATGCACACCTTATCCCACCCACATTCCCCCCCTTTAGTTCATGTCCATGTGTCATAAGTTCTTTAGCTTCTACATTTCCCATACTATTCTTGCCCTCCCCCTGTCTATTTTCTACCTACCATCTATGCTACTTATTCTCCATACCTTTTCCAGCTCTCTCCCCCTCCCACTCCCCTGTTGCTAACCCTCAATGTGTTCTCCATTTCTGTGGTTCTGTTCCTGTTCTAGTTGTTTCCTTAGTTTCTTTTTTCTGTTTTAGGTATGGTTGTTAATAATTGTGAGTTTGCTGTCATTTTACTATGCATGTTTTTTATCTTCTGTTTCTTAGACAAGTCCCGTTAACATCTTATAAAATAAGGGCTTGGTGATGATGAACACCTTTAACTTGACCTTATCTGAAAAGCACTTTATCTGCCCTTCCATTCTAAATGAAAGCTTTGCTGGACAGAGTAATCTGGGATATAGGTCCTTGTCTTTCATGACTTGGAATATTTCTTTCCAGCCCCTTCTTGCCTATAAGGTCTCTTTTGAGAAATCAGCTGACAGTCTGATGGGAATTCCTTTGTAGGTTACTGTCCCCTTGTCTCTTGCTGCTTCTAGGATTCTCTCCTTCATTTTTACCTTGGCTAATGTAATTATGATGTGCCTTGGTGTGTTTCTTCTTGGGTCCAACTTCTTTGGGACTCTCTGAGCTTCCTGGACTTCCTGGAAGTCTATTTCCTTTGCCAGAATGGGCAAGTTCTCCTTTGTTATTTGTTCAAATAACTTGTCCACTTGTTGCTCTTCCTCTTCTCTTTCTGGTACCCCTATAATTCGGATGTTGGAATGTTTCAAGATGTCCTGGAGGTTCCTAAGCTTCTCCTCATTTTTTTGAATTCTTATTTCTCCATTATTTTCTGTTTGGTTGTTTCTTTCTTCCTTCTGGTCCACTCTATTGTTTTGAGTCCCAGTTTCCTTTCCATCACTATTGGTTCCCTGTGCATTTTCCTTCATTTCTGTTATTGTAGCCTTCATTTGTTCATCTAATTTGTGACCAAAATCAACAAATTCTGTAAGCATCCTGATCACCAGTGCTTTGAACTGTGCATCTGATAGGTTGGCTATCTCTTGGTTGCTTAAAAGTACTGGTTCTAATGACACCTCAGACAAGGGTTTAATCTCCAAAATATATAGAGAACTTACACGACTGCACTCTAAGAAGACAAGGAATCCAATTAAAAAGTGGGCAAAGGACTTGAACAGACACTTCTCCAAGGAGGACATACAGAAAATCCAAAGACACATGACACGATGTTCAATATCGCTAGCTATCAGAGAGATGCAAATTAAAACCACAGTGAGATACCACTTCACACCAGACAGAATGGCCATCATAAACAAAGCAACAAACAACAAGTGTTGGAGAGGTTGTGGAGAAAAGGGGACCCTAGTGCACTGCTGGTGGGACTGCAGACTGGTACAACCACTATGGAAAGCAGTATGGAACTTCCTCAGAAAACTAAAAATGGATCTGCCTTTTGACCCTGCAGTTCCACTGCTGGGACTCTATCCTAAGAACACTAAAACACCAATTCAAAAGAACCTATGCACCCCAATGTTCATAGCAGCACAATTTACAATAGCTAGATGCTGGAAGCAACCAAGATGCCCATCAGTAAATGAATGGATCCAAAAACTATGGTACATTTACACAATGGAATTCTATGCAGCAGAAAGAAAGAAGGAGCTCCTACCCTTTGCAACAGCGTGGATGGAGCTGGAAAACATTATGCTTAGCGAAACAAGCCAGGGAGTGAAAGACAAATACCATATGATCTCACCTTTAACAGGAACCTAAATAACAAAACAAAGGATCAAGCAAAATATAACCAAAGACACTGAAATAGAGGACAGGCTGATGGTGACCAGAGGGGAGAGAAGAGGGAATTTAAGGGGTCAGTGGGAAGGGTTCACAGGAACAAACTTAAAGGACACATGGTCATAGACTAAGGGGAGGGTGGTAATGGGAGGGAAGTGGGGAGGGTGGGAGGGGGGGACTGGATTGGGAGTAAAAAGGAGAAAACTGTATTTGAACAATGATTAAAATAAAAAAAATTTAAAAAAAAGTACTGGTTCTGAGGATTTCATTTCTCTTTGAGCCATCTTTTTTTTTCCCTTTGGTCTGGTCACACCCGTTACATATGAGGGGCGGAGCCTTAGGTGTTCACCAGGGCTGGACACCCCAGTCGCTGGGTTCTGACACTATATGTGGGGGCAGGGTCCGAGAAGGAACAATGGCACTTGCTGCGCTCTCTGTTGGACCTCATTCCCTTCTGCCACTTCCCCCAAGCAAACTGGGCCCCTCTGGTGCCAATTCCCGTGTGGCTGGGCTTGTGCACCCTGTGGGACTTTCCAAGGACCTCTCCTGTGAGGCTGGGAGTCTCTCCCTGTGCCTCAACCTCCACAGGTGTTTTCAGTCAGTGCCCCAAGGCTCTATTTCCCAGCGCTGGGATCCTGCGTTGTGCACAGTGCCTTGCTTCACAATCACCACCTCACTGGGTCTGCTGGTTGGCACCCCTCAGCCAGGGTCTGCCAACTGCCACTTGCACGCTCAGGTTCCACCTGCTGTGGTCTTGCACACCATGGATGCCTTATGTGCCCAGTCCCAACAGTCCCTGTTCTCCCTGCGGTGACCCGCAACCCATGCCCTGCAGCCTGACTCCGCCCTCCTACCGGTCTGGATAAACGGGTCTATTTTAACTTCTTGGTTGTCCAACTTCCATACAGTTCACTTTTCTATCAGTTCTGGTTGTTATTCTGTTTCTAAATTATTGTTGTCCCTATCTTGGTTGTATGAGGGGGCACAGTGTGTCTACCTATGCCTCCATCTTTGCCGGAAATCCTAAATAAAATCTTTTTTAAAAAGATGGCCTCTCACTATTTTTAAAATACAGGTTAGAACAACAAATAAGATACCTTTTTTTTTGCTTTTAAAATAACATTTTAGACAGAATACTGTCTGATGGGCCTATGGGGAAACAAATACTTTATTTCTTTTTAATTTTTATTGTATTTTTTCCATTACCATTTAGCCCCCTTATGTCCTTCTCCCCCCAGCAATCACCACACTGTTGTCCATGTCCCCAAGTCCTTTTTCCTTTTTGCTCAATCCTTCTACCTCTAACCTTCCCACCTTAGCTGTCATCCTGTT